AATTAACACTGATGGAAAGATCTACGAATAATAAAGAATATGTATTGACAGCAAGCAGCAGGAATTAAGTATTAACAACTGTTTAGGTACATTTCAGAGCATCAAGAGGGATGTACTACAAGGATGTGTACTGTCACCTGATTTATTTTCACTATACAGCGAATATATAATGCGACTTTAATTTATAAGCCGGAATAGTGGTTGGTGGGCACAATATAAACAATTTGCTTTATGCTGATGACACAGTCTTGACGGCAACAAGTCAGAAAGAACTACAAGAAATAATAGACACTGTGGTGGTAGCAAGTAGAAGAATGGGCCTCAGTTTAAATATTGAAAAGACAGAAGTAATGATGTTATTAAAGAAAAGAATGATTCCTAAATGTGTAATAAAAGTCAATAGCTTTATTTTGGGAAAACTACAGCAATTTAGGTATCTGAGCACATGGATATCATCAGATGGAAGATGTATGACTGGGATAAGAAACAGAATATAACAGGCAAGAACTGCATTTTATAAAATGAAGAACATCTTATGCAATACATCTTTGTCATTGAAGGTTAGAAAAATAATTTTTGCTTGCTACACATATCCAGTTTCAACACATGGCTGTGAGTCAGGCAGGCCAAACAATTTCATGAGGCCTCAGAGATGTGGTTTTACAGAAAAATGCAAAAAATACCTTGGATAGTTAAAAAGAGCTACCAAGAGGTTTTGAAAGAGGCGGAAGCCCGAAGAGTAATACAACGAGAGAAGATTCATGACGGTCTTGTTGCATGGCATGGATGTGTATCAGCACACGAACTAATACATGTTCCAGGAGATCGCAGATTGTGGAGATGCATGATCACCCACGCCAGTCAGCAAGGCATCTGATGATAATGTATGTAACATTTGCATGCGACTTAAAGAGTTAATGGTTGCTGCGACTCTTTCTGGCCTTAGAACATTAACTCTTTACCACAACAATACTGTTACTGTAATAGTACAAACAATGACGTCGAAATTATTCAAGAAGCTATTTGTATACATGCAGTACTTAGTCTGTTATCAGGAGAATTGACAGCACAGTGACTCGATCAGCCACTGTTCAGATATCAATCCAACAAAACAGATCTAAATGCCCCTTTAAATTTAAAATGTAATAATTAATGAACAACTATAAGCGGACGAGCTAATAACATACAGCACAATCACACAGTGAACAAACAGCAAGTGCACGAGCAATATATACTAGAGCAGAATTGATTAATGCCTGTCTGTTTCCGCCATTACGGCTGCTAGCTAATGATTTAACGACTCTGCAGCTACAATAATCAGCATTCCAGTTAGGAAACCAAAACGGCAAATTCCAGATTTTCTCTTCAACGTCCAGAAAAGTTACTTTAGGGCACCGTTTTCCTGGTGATTTAGCGAACAGATCGCTTATTAGAATCGCAGTAATGCTGCTGTTTAAACTCTGGACATCGATTGAATGACTTTTGATTGTTTTACTACAATAAACTTTATCAACGTCATCGACGTGTTTCGGCTGTACTATCATGTGTCCAATCCTTACAGCAAAACTGAGGTATCTATAACGTCCAGATAGGAGGGCGAGTCTAACAGCGGCATTATTGCACATGGGTGCTCATTCGGGAATTAGTTTCTACTATTGGTTTCGAAATCTTTCATTTTATGCGAAATTTTTAAAAATTTACTTCCATGGAGACCCCTGTTAAATGCATGACAAACCCTTAGGGCAGGGCATGCAAGTAAGTTTACTCAAGGGGCTTAAATGTTTTAGATTCAGATCGTCATGTCCCAGGACAGAAATATCATTAATTCAATACATTTGGCAAGAATTAGCTGACCATTTTTAGGCCTTTGCTTCAGGGTGGATATAACCCCTGTCTTCACTAGACAGACGTTTTTTAAAGTAAATTCAATACGACAACTGACACTTTTTAAAATAAAATAAAACACGTATATCTAAAATAAAAGTTAAAGAAAAAACTGATACTGTCCCGCGATATGGTCACTATATTCTGCGAGCCAGATACGGCCAACTGACCGCCAGCGCTTAGGGCTCCACGGTGCACCTGTAGGAAAAACACAACTACGCTAGGGTTTCTGTAACGGTTACACAAAGTGGTGTTCTCTCTAATTCCTACGGGTTAAGATGTAATTGGCTACTTACTGATAACTGCAAAAGCATCAGTGTTTCCAATGAGCAAGGCACATCATTGCGAGTGACCATATGGGAATCTGCGCGGCTCCGTGGCTTGGAGGTTAGTGAATGTGGTTAACAATTCCATAATTCTCGAGTACTATGGTTCGTTCACCGCGGTAGACAATTAAAAAAAAAAAAAACGTTTCCATGGGTTTCAGATAATGTAATTTTTCTAAAAGACAACAATGATACATTATAGACAACCTTCAGCATTTTACATGTGATTGAGACCCTGTCAGGTTTTCTTTTTGGCCACCATAATATGTGGCCCTTATTCGGAGGATAGCTTTTTGCCCAGTTGCTTCTAGAAAATAAAATAAGGGAGCCTTAGTAACTGCATTGTGAGATTGTTGGTACTGGAAGTCTCCACTGTCTCCAGCGTGTCCTCAAGTTTCTGTTTGCTTTCTCCATAGATGCTGGAACCTCAGTTTCCCCCCTTCCCCTGCTCCAGAAATTTTGTAAGGGGACTTAGACTCATGTAAAGAAATTGTATATTGTTTTTCTAATAAAAAAGGTGTCTTAGCTCTGAAAACAAATTATGCCAAAAAAAAAAAAAAAAAGATGCTGGTAACTGGTACTGCTTGCCACCAGAAAAAAAGTTGTGATGATGATAATGCACTGAATGGCGAAGAAATATAATAATATACTTCAAGTAATATGAAATATATAAATGAATACTTTAAAAGATAATTTCTATACATTGTTAAACCTTAATTCAAAGGGGCCTTCTTAGTTCCCTTAACAAAACAACTAGGGGGGGGGGGGGGGGTTGATATTTGAGTTCCAAATCCAATTTTTCGCTTACAAAATGTGTAAGCTGGTTTTTTGTGTGTGGGGGGGGGGGGGGGGGGGGACAGGCATGCCGTAAGGAAAAACAAACCAATGAGGCACCCCCCCACCTAACACACAGCTTATATATTTTTTAGGCAAAAAAATGGAGAGGATGGGGGGAAGGAGGGATAACGGGGAGTGCTCAGTGTTTATTTTTGGTGACAGCATGTCTGACTATCTTTACATCTAGGAATGCTGATCAGTACCTGTGGATTGAAATTTCTTGTAGCTTTCATTGTTTCTCTTGTTTGATGTACTCTTTTCAAAGAGAAGAACCCTTGTCTACTCCATGTGGCATACTGGGGGCGTCGTGCTAGACCCATATTTTTATTGAGCATGTTGAGAAAGGTAGAGACAGGTATGTTCCATGCAGATTGGCTTTGCTTCAGAGGTCCTGGGTACAGCTTCCTTTGGATATTTTCCCCAGTGTGTTGGGCAATGAACAGACAGACTGTTTGGTTGTGCACCACTTGGTGGTAAATTGATGCTTGACAGGCTAGATGTTGTAAGGCCCTTTGGGAGTGAGTAAACAGTGCGGAAGTACAAATAGATCATAACTGTCTAAAGAAAATGGTGCAGAGAGGTGCTCAAGGAATGTGGCTAATGCTTAACACCCAAGGGGAGGGGCAAGATGGACATACAGGCAGATTGTTACTGGTACCAATAGAATTGCAACTCTGCACTTGCTGCTAAACATGAGATTGGAGCATTTATGGGAATGTTATGATGTTGGTTCTTAACTCATAACTTATTTTATAGATCTGTTAGTTGATGAGAGATGTAGTCAGCTTTACACTGGTCACTTTAACATCATACCAGCCATTTTTTCTTCCTATAATTTTTCATAGTACCCAATTCAGATTCTGTATCTGCTATGGCGGATGACTAGGCACTTGCCTATCTACCTGAAGGTCAAGGATTCAAATCTGCATTGAGATACATTTATTTTAAAACTGATCTCAGTTCCTATGTCGACCCAGCCAAAACTGGTTATCAGGTAATTTCCTGGGAATGATCACCACGGTGTCATTGACATGAAGGTGACGGCCATTCAATCTAGCCACATCAGGGACAGAATCCATAAGTTTCTTGAGAACCACCTTATTTTTTTGTTATCTTGAATGCAAATACATCTGGGGGACATCTGTCAACACAGTTTATCTAATATCCTTGAGTCATGGCCCTTAGCATTCTTGGGCTGTTCATTCTTGGTGGCCACACATGTCTTTCATTCCACTGGCCGGACAACAGTGTGGCTGCAATCGGGAATACATCAGTTGAGTGATTTTATGCATTCTTGTCTGTACATGTAATTTTGTTGATTTGTGTAATGTGCTGATGAAGGCTCTGTAGCTGCAACGTTCAGTTTCCATTTGTATTTGTTATATTGTGGAGCTCGCTGGTCTACTTTTCATTTGATTATATGTGACCAATGCACCAAAAGTGGGGAAAAAAAGGTACTTTACTTTTACAAACCCAGTAGCATCAGAATGCAGAATATCTCCATAGTACTGATTCACTCACTGAGTTCTACATTTGAGTGCCCCTGTTTCTTGATAAGTTTCCTGATATCAAACTAGGCCAAAGTTCAAATAGTATGTTGCATATTAATATTGACAAGTAAAGTACGGACCTGAAGATTTAAGATCGTAGTTTTATTGCCTTCATTGTGTGGTCTCATAGATCTACTTGTGTTGTACATTGGCTGTGCTGGTCCATTAAAATTGGGGTTAGTCCACTAAAATATGCTTGTTGGTAGTATATAATGAGATATCTTTGAAGCAGAAGTTTAGCACAGTTGTTTAAAATGTGAGGTTTTAGTGTTCAGCAAATTGTCTGTCTTCACCAGGCCAAGACAGTGTTTTCAGAAAATTAAGACTGTGATTGCTTTTTTGAATTGCTGCCAAAGTAAATATGATGCTGCTCTAGCAAAGAAAGGGGAATCCTGTTTGGCAAATGAAGTATGTTTTAAGACTATAGTTCCTATGATTGGCTGTTACTCTAGCTAATAAATTAATCTGTTTTAATTCTTCTTGATAAGAGATAAGGCATGTGTAAATAAGTAATCACAGCCTAAAATGTGGACAAAAAGTATTCTATGGAGTTAAGATAAGTAACCTGATACTAAATACAGGGTCTCTTCAAATTAGGACCGACTTCCGCTCCGACTGACAGGTCGTAAAGTTGATCTGGTTGAAAGTTGAATTTAGGTTTTTCAGTGCTATTTTCATTCAAATGGGTTATAAAAATTGTACATAAAACACAAAAATGCAATCTTCTTCTTCTTCTTCTTAAAGTCCATGTGGTGGGGCTTTGGTAGGTCTATCCACAACCTTGTATCTTGTGTACTTTCAATAAACTCTGACACATATGATCATTCATGCTGTGATGTCGAACTGTCCAGCATCTGTCTTCTCGGTCTCCCCCTGCCTCTCCTCCCCTCCAACTTTCCCACTGTCACGATCTACTCCAGTTTTCTCCTTCTCATCACATGACCAAAGAATGTAGATTGTCTCTTTTCAATGTGGGCAGTCAGTTCTCTTCGTGAGTCAGCTTCTTTCGAGATGTCATCTTGACTCTTTTTATCTGACCAGGGTATTCTCATAATTCATCTATAAAACCATATGCCTGCAGCTTCCAAGTAAGTTATCACTAATTTACCAACTGTCCATGATTCATTTCCATAAATCAAGACATAAGAATGCTCTTTCTTGTCTCAGACAAAAATGCTGTAAAATGCTGCCATTGCTTGAGCTAATCGACATTTAACTTCTTTAAAACGTCTTCAATTTGATGTTATCAGGGTACCCAAGTACATGTAAATATCCACTTAAATGCAGTTTATATACACATTAATAGACCCTGATGCACTCTGGGCATCAGTTGCACAAACGTTTTAACCCTGCCAGTGTAGTTAAATTTATTTATTGACTTTCAAAAATGTACTAATTTTTGTTGTTGTCATTAGTGAGGATGGTTGTAAGTTTCACAGGTCATAAGTTCAAGAGAATGTGTACATCACGTGCTAATTGCTGATTCGTTTCATAGCATATACAAGGAAAGCCTCAAACAGTTTTATCAAATTTTAGTGTGCATGGCAATAGCACCAAAACGGGAATTTACAATCTTATACAGTCCAGCACAACTATAATTTCTTTTTCTGGGTTTGCCCTTAAAAGGTTTTGTCATGGCATGTTGTGGTTGACAGCTAGGCTGTGATATTTTCACTTTTTACCCCAAAAATCATTCCCCCCCCCCCCCCACTCCCCAGTATGGCTCCAGAACACACACAGGGACAACTCAAATCATGAATGTGAATGTATACAAAATGACAGTAGCCAACTTCATTCTACCAAAAACTATGCAGGAATGCCATCAGTCTCAAACTAGAAAAGAAGATGAAGAGGAGAAGAAGAATTACAGTTAGAGAAGGAAAAGAACAAGATTAAGAGAACAAAGGAGCAGAAGAAATAGAAAAACATGATAATGATACAGCAGCAGCAACAGAAATTGGAAGAAAATGATATAAAAAATTGTACATTTATTGTCACCCGGTAAACTAATATGAATTGAAATTAATGTCTCCCCTCAGGATGAGAGGCAAGAAACGTCTTCCAGAAGAGCGGACATCCAACGTGGCAGGCCCATTGCCACCTTGTCGGGTCTGCGGAGATCAAGCAGCAGGCTTCCACTACGGGGTCAACACATGTGAAGCCTGCAAAGTATGTATATTATAAGTTCCTATGTGGATTCTGGGGCTCCATTTTTGAGAACAAAGTAGACCCCACTCCTTCTCCTAACAAGCAGGTCGAAGGAGGTGACTAATTGGGGTGATTTCGTCAAAGTCCAAGTGCATCTGCCTGAGAGGCAAGGAACCAACAGTCTGCATACAAAAAAGCCAGATCTACCAAATTGATGTGAAGACAAACACGAGTTCTGGATCAAGGTCAAAGTCCAGAAGTGGATGAACAACCGTAACTTTTCACTGGAGTTTACAGTTGCGAACACTTAGAAGAAAATCATCATCATCATGTAGCAGGTCCTTTGCAGAACGTCTCTCTCATCACAGTCCGCCTGAAAGAAACTCGGTCCTCGCCAGCTCTCCCGCCTCATGAACTTTCACACTCAAGGAGTCACTTATATCCTGTGCCCATCTTCGTGTCGGTCGGCACCTGCCCCTCCTTCCTGGTACCATGCCTTCTGCTATAATTTTTTCCAATCTGTTGTGGTGCTTGATATGACCAAAATATTTCAGCTTTCGAGAAAGGATGCTGTTTATTAGCCAATCTTCCTTGATGTGCAGATCTTTTAAGATGTCAATATTTCTCATCTTCTTTGTCCAAGATATTCTAAGAATCTTTCTATAGCATTTCAGCTCAAAAGCCCTATTCTCTTTCTTAAGGACTAAGAAGAAGAAGAAGCATATTATAAATTATGAAATAGATACCTTGAATAAAGCAATTCCAGGTGTATATATATTATATTTTAATTATAATTTTAATAAACAGTGGTAAGTTGTACCTTTTTAATGTATTGCTTCTATTTGTCTTTAAATCGCAGGGTTTTTTCCGCCGTAGCCTTGTGCGCGATGGCCAGTATGAGTGTATTGGGACAGGTAAATGTCTCATTGATGCCAGTAGAAGAAAAAGTTGCCCCAAATGCCGCTATTTGAAATGTTTGTCTGTCGGCATGTCAAAAGATGGTCAGTGAAATAATGTTTAGAGATTTCTTTGTGATTATTATTTTTTTAAATGCTAATAGAAGAATGTTGCATTCTGTGACTTTAGGGTTCTGAAAACGGTTTCATAATTCTGACACTTCAGGTTATATTTAATGCAGGAAGTTTGACAGCAAACTCTTTTGCACTCATTTTGACAAAATACAAGTGTAGGTGATTCAGAAGCAATGACAAACTAATGAGTAGAAAATGCCTAACTACAAACAACCAACAGTTAATAGGGTTGGATTTTGACAACCTGTAAAGGATATGCAACTAATTTGTTCTTTTCTTCTTCTCTTCCACCTTGTACCTCACTGAAGTGTTGGCGAGTATGTAACATTCATGATGAGCTCTGTCAAGAGCACTATTAAGACTGATGTTCATTTCTGTAAGGCTGTTTTTTATGCCATCACTCCATGTTTTCCGAGGTCTTCCACTCTCTCTATACCCGTAGTAATGTTTAAGTGTGGCTCGCTGTGGTAGATAGTACCAAGGCATTCTTGTTTTATATCCAAACTACTTTATTTGTTGTTCTTTGATGGCCTGTAAGACTGACTTTGTTCTTCGAAGTCAGAGTGCATCTGTCTCAGAGGCAAGGAACCAGCAGTCTACATACAAATGCATCAGATCTGTAAGATTGGATGCACACGCAACACTCAGGTTCTGGAACAGGACTGCTGTCCAAAAGTGGATGAACAACCAGAACTTTCTGCCAGAGTTTACAGCTGGTGAACCCAAAGAAGAAGAAGAAGACAAGGTTGACCCAAAAGCCAAAGTTTGGTTTGGAAAAAAAAAAAAAATCCATATAGCTGCGTATTTGAACCCTAGACCCTCATGCCAAACATCTAGTATTAACACTACTGTGGTTTTTCTTTGGGCATATGTTGCTAACCTTGTATTTTTTATAGACAGCAATGCTCAATGGATAACATGATTTTACAGTTTACCTTTACTGGGAAAAAAGAGAATAGATCTTGTCTTCTAGGAAATGCAGAAAAGCTGCGATGGTTCATCAGTCAGCAAGTGCTTTACAGAACATTTTTAAACAATTTTAAAAATTGACCAGGTCACCACAGCTTAAAAAAAATTAGTACCAGGAAATATTATGGGAAGTAAAAGCAACTTGTATGATATTGACCATATATCACCCAACAAATGTTGATTGGTCTAACATAATATAAGGTTGGCATCATACACCCAGGGTGCCTAAAGCCATGGAAACAGGTCCTTTTCTTACTTTTCTTTGAGTGGAAAGTGCAGTCCAGTCCTGTGATAAGTGGGTTGAAATTGGAAAAAAAAACAGCATATGTAAATTGTTTCCAATCATTGTAAGAATTTTTCTGAGCCTGCTTAATAAAAAATCGTATCACATATTTAAGAATGAAAGTCTTCTTCTTCTTCTTTTTTGCATTCACCAGCTGTAAACTTCGGCAGAAAATTCTGGTTGTTTGTCCACTTCTGGACATTAGTCTTGTTCCAGATCTTTAGTTTTGCATGAACATCCCTTCTACAGATGTGGCTTATTTATACACAGACTCTTGGTTCCTTACCTCTCAAGAAGATGCCTTTCACCTTAGACGCAAACACGCCTAATTAGTCGACTTTTAGGATATGCTTGTTGGTGACAATTGATCTGTTCTTTTTTTCCCCCACAATGGAACCCCAAAACCCACAAGAGGAAGAAGGGAGAGTGAGAAGCACTGGAATTCACAGTCTATTTAAATCACTTCTAATTATGGGGGCTAATATGCTATACACACAGCTGGAAAAAAACATGCTTATTTACAATGTATTTTGTCACTATATTCCAGCCATCAAGACAGGCCGCTACACATATCTAAAGAGAACGCAGGATACATTAGAATTGAAAAGGTTGGAAGAATCAAAACAACAAGAACAGTCAGATATTGACAGAGAGAAAGAATATATGTCTGAAGCTTCTGAAGAATCAGTTTCATACTCTATGCCGATGGGAATTCTAGAATATGAGAAGAAAAGAGATCTTAGAAGAAGCTGTCCCAGCGAACATGCAACATTTGCTGCATATTTAAATAACAGCCCAGTTTCCAGATCATCATCACCTTGTGTTCCTAATAATGCACAGCCATTGACTAAACTTATGCCAGCATTATCTGCGGAACTTATGTCTTCATTACCTGGCTTATCACAAAACAACGTAACAAGGAAGGTGGACAATGAAGAACTAAAAGCTGCAGTTTTACCTGGAGGCAAGATGTGTCATGCCACTGAAAAATACTTCAGTCATAATTCAGTGATGCCTGATTTAAAAGTGAACAGTCCATTAAATTCAGCATTACTGTCTCCTCTCTCCTTGGGGGAATGCAATGATTTCTCACCGGGATCTCAAAAGAGTTACCATCAAAGAGATCCTTGCTCAGTGAAGATATTTTCACCTCCTATAGAAATGCCTTCAGAGGTCAGCAATACACCTCTGCCCTCACCAGCATCTTTACCTTTATCTCAGCAGGATCACACACACACAGCTTCAAATAACTGGCTAACTTACAGTGAAACAGAGCTTGATATTTTCATTGCTGATATTGTTTCCAGTCATAAAATAAACGTTGAGGACTCAAATGGCATTAGTGATGAGGTTCTTCATGAGAAAGTGAAGGAGTGTAAAGTGAGTATTCATTTCAATTATTGAAAAGTGTATAGTAACTGGTGCATGAAGATTTGTGCACTTGCCTGACGAGGGATTAGTCAAACTGTTTTCCCCAGTGATGCAGAATTGTGAGAGCAAAGAGGATGCCCAGGAAGAAGATGAAATGGTGATATTAAATACATTTAAATAATGTGGACAAAAAACAATACATTGCACAATTAATTGCCTCAAATATTTCTGTGTATTTTGTCACATGCAGCGCTAAAGAGTTTCATCAACATATCCCTGTGTGGGTTCTGGAGCCTCATTTTTAGGGAAAAAATATTAGACCCACTGCCTCTGCAAAAAGGCATGTGGTACAAGATGACTAAGAAATGTTCCCTTCAAAATCGGAGGGCATCTACCTCAGAGTCAAGGAACACAGTCTGAATACAAATAAGCCAGATCTTTTAAACAGATGTGCACCAGAACTCAAGTTCTGGAACAGGACTAAAGTCCAGAAGTGAACAAACAACCAGAACTTTTTGCCAGAGTTTACAGCCAGTAAACCCAAAGAAGAAGAAAAAGACTGAAATAGAAAAAAAATCAAGTCTCTAGTTACACTGTATGTGCAATAACAGAAATTCAAGTTTAGCCATTTGATTAGTAGTAATGCATCTGACAAGATACACAACAAAATATGAAAGGTAAACTTTCTTCTTTTTCTTCTTCTGTGTTCATCAGAAGATGTAATTGTGTTGTGCCTGTTTACAGCATAGCTGCGATATTTGCTCCGCTCGGCTGACACATCAGACTTCTGCAGGCGTTTGCTTACCGGGTTAGCCTAGCAGGTTTGAAAGGGAAATAATTTGCAATTTATTGTTCGTGTCACCCTTATTTAAAGAGCAAAACAATGTTTTAAATTCAAGACATTAAATGTCCGCATGGACTAACGTTGGCTAGTTTCACCCATCGAGCACAAGCTTTCCTCCTCACAACACTTAATGACAAAAATGTAAATTGAGGATCCTCTTCTTCGTGTTCACCGGCTGTAAACTTCAGTAAAAGTTCTGGTTGTTCATCCACTTCTGGACTTTAGTTTTGTTTCCTGACTTGCGAGTTGCTAGCACACCCGTTTAATAGATCTGGCTTATTTCTATGCGGGCTTGGTTCCTTGCCTCTCAGGCAGATGCACTCTGACTTTCAAGGAAACCCCTAATTAGTCGACGCTTATGACATGCTTGTTGGGGAGGGGGGGCAGAGGGTCTATTCTTGTCTTCCCTATAATGGAGAGAGAGAGAGATCCCTTTTCACTCTTTAGGCGCATCGGGTATATGGGAAGAGCGTCGCATATTTTTACTGACCATTCGGACCTGGATGGGTAATGTGGTCAGCATTACGTCGGCTGTCTTTACTTTCCCAGGACAGCCATCCTGGTACCTATTTTAGGCTGGGTCAACCTGCGACGCCCCATGCCATGATAAAAATCCACGCAGCGAGCAGTGGGTTTCAATCGCAGTACGTTAGATTACGAATCGGACTCGCAACGCCTAAGCCACGGACGCCGCTTGCCTACAATGGGCCCCAGAAAACCACAATTGGATAAGTTGAGGATAATAATGATGTTGAAGCAGAATTAAGTTTTTCAGACTAGCATGGCTGTAAGATCAATCTAAAATAATACAAATGTTCACCGTGCGGGTTCAAGGGCTGATTTGTGGGGAAACAAGATCCACTTCCTCCATAGCATGTTGTAAAAGTCAACAAATTAGGGATGTTTCCTTTAAAGTTAAAGTGCATCTGCCTGAGAGGCAAGGGACCAACAGTCTGCTTAAAATAAGCCATATCTGGAAAACAGATGTGCACACAAAAAGTCAAGTTCTGTGATTTGTTCCTCGAAAGACGAAGCACATCTTCCCGAGAGGTGAGGAACATATAGTCTGCATACAAATAAGCCAGATCTGTAAAATGATTGTGCATGTGGAATTCAAGTTCTGAAACAAGACTAAAGTTCAGAAGTGGACCAACAATTAGAACTTTCCGATAATTACAGCCAGCAAACACTGAGAAAAGCAAAAATATTTAATTTGTAACCATTAAAAAAAAAAGCAATATTTATATATGCCTTGATTATGTTTTTAAAAAAAATGATTATTCGTCGCACTTAGGAAAGATGCTCCTTGCAAACAGAAATCTTTGGTCACATGGGACCTATCAAGAGGGATGTGCATGACCAGATTTACATATCAACTGGACTGGATGTAGATGGCCGCCTTGATGACCTCAGTTATGCAGCCGAAAAAATGGATATTTACATTCGGCAGATGATTGCATTCATGAAATTGATCCCTGGATTCAGATCGTTACTTTTATCTGATCAAACAGCTTTAGTTAAAGGTGAGGTGTCATTTGAGTCAGTTTTTGTTTTAATGCGTAGCTGAGCTAATAGATATTTGTTAAATTTTAGGTGTCTTTTGAGTCAGTTTTTTAATGCATAACTGAATTAATTTGTAATTTCCTTGAAGGTGAAGTATTCTTTGAGACAGTTATTTTTATGCATAACTGAATTGTTAGATGAGAATGACAAAATACTGTATAATTTACTTGGTAAGATGATTTTGAAGTCAATCTCTTCTACTTCTTCTTCTGCTTTCTATTCCCCAATGGAGCATAGGCCCTCAACCAACTCACATCAAGTCTTTCTATTCTTCACTTTTGCATACAGCTCTCCTCATGTCCTCCCCATCTTTTTCACTTCACTCTCTAGCTTCCTTCTCCATATTTTTTGGGGTCTTCCTTTATTTCTATGCCCCTGTGGGTTCCAGTGCAAATACATTCTGGTTTTATTGTTCTCAGTCTCAGGTTTTCTCAATGTGGGGCCTATCCAATGCCAGCGTCTTTTCTTCATCTCTTGGTCCGCTGAAATTTGTTTAGCTCTCCCGAAGCTCTACATTGGTGATTATGTCATACCAAGTCAGGCTCTACTATGATATAAATATGTGTGCTAGTTGGAAATGAATGATTCAGGCATTGAGGTAGAACATTTATGAAAACAGAATGCCATAAGCTGTGTTGCATGGAGGGGAAATTGAGAAGGGAGTAGGAATAAAGAAGAAAGTAATTGTAGATAGGCGAGGAGCTGAGTGTTCGAGAAAAAAGCATGTAAGAAATACAGGGGATAGCAACAATGGTTCTGAAATATCACACCCCAATTGGGGAAAACTTTTCTTTACATGAGTGAGTCTTGCTAGTCACACTCACATTCACCATGGGCTGTGATTTCCATGCCTCTGTTTAGCAAAATATAACACTGTCATCTGAAAAGGCATAAAGCTGTTAGCATTTAGTACACTAAAACCATTAACTCATGAAAGATGTAAAAAGCGGGGAATGGAGAGTGAGAAGCAACAATGGAATTCGTAATCTGTTTAAATCACCGTTGATCACTGGCATCATGAGAGCTAATAGGTTAAAATGGCTGGGGCGTATTGAGAGAATGTCAGATGACAGAGAGGTTAAAATTTTATACAGAAGGGAGATGAATGGTCGTAGACCAAGGATCAGACCAAGAAGATGACGGAGAGATAATGTCCAGAGACACCTGCAAACACTTGGTGTTACTAACTGGAAAGAGAAGGCCAACCAGAGAGATGAGTGGAGACAAGTGATATCTGCAGCAGTGAACCTCAAGGACTCGGAATGCTATAAAAGAAGAGAATGATTAACCAGTACCTTCAAACTGCAGGGTAGTCCCCTTAAAAATAAGGATAGTACAATGCTTGTACCTTTAGGCAAAACACTTTCAAGAGACTTTAAATAGACCTAGTCTAAAATAACCAGTAGACGTTGATGAACATTGATGAAAAGGTGATAGTGATCATATTATCATTAAATGTAGGACTAATGAATGTCATAGAAATAAAAGAGGTAATTAATTCCTTAGCAAACTATAAAGCTGTAGGTGATGATGATATTACTGCAGAAATGATGAAGGCAGCAGACAAGCACATGGAAAAGAGAATTGGTATTCAGCAAATGTGCCTGAGTCTTGAAAAGTGTCCTTCAGTTTCACACAATAGTCAGTTTAAAATATACCTTCAATTAACACTTGTTATAAGGATATTTTTATGTCACCTTGTAGTCAATAATTCATTATGTTGGTTATAAAGCCTTCTTTCTGTTTACAGCCAGCATCTATGATATTTTTTTGCTGGGCTACTTCCGAGGCTATATCAAAGAGGAAAGTATGATTGTAGAGCCCTCAATATCTTACTGCAAACACCAGATGGAGACTTTTCATTCTGAAGAGCATCTAGATCAAATATTCCATATATCTCAGAAACTGCAGAATCTTCATTTGACGTTTGAAATGATTGTTGTTCTCAAGGCTCTTTGTATCTTCATGCCAGGTAGGACAACTACTGCTTTTATGCCTGTTTGAATAACTTATGTATCTTTTAAAAGTATCTTTTAATAACACAAAAATCAACCAACAGCTAGGGTGTACTATTAGTGAACAGCAGGTTACAAGGCAAGAGGCTGACAAGAAAGAGGTGGATGGAAGAAGTAAAAGAGACACTGCAGAAATGCAGTATGATCTTAACACAAGCTACACAACTGGCAAAAGCCTGGAAACTACATCTAACTCCTATCTGCGATGATTTGTGGCAAAAGCTGAAGGACAAAAGAAGAAGAAAAACAATATAAGACCTGTTGTTCATAACCATTTGGCTTCATAAATGTATTCTTTTCATTACGGCTTTGATGAGTGGTCAGTTAGCACCAGCAGTGGTCAGTACCTGATCACTTGGTTTTGTCTTCTCTGTTAAGAATGTTTAGGCTGGTCATCCTTGCAAAATATGTTAAAGATTCTGGACTCCCCCCCCTTCCCCCCCCCCCCCTCCACACATGCACACACACATACACAAACATTTATCTTTGTTTCCAGGGTGAGTAATAGATGCCTTAGACCAGCAGTTCTCAACCTGTGGGTCGCACCCCTTTTGAGGGTCGAACGACCTTTTCACAGGGGTCGACTAAGACCATTAGAAAGCACATATTCACTAAAGTTTGAAGTAGCACTTAAAATAGGCTGGCTGTCATTACAGCATGGGGAACTGTATTAAAGACTCACAGCATTAGGAAAGTGGAGAACTGCTACCTTAGTCTCACTTTAGCTCTCCAAAGCCACCTTCGAGGCTGTTTCTGAGGCTACAATGAAGAGGACTTACACTTACAGAGAGAGATAGAGAGGGGTGGGAGGGAGGGAGAAACATAGAGGAGTGGAGATAGGGAAATAATGAGTGAGAAAAAAGGAGCTAGAGATATTGTGAATTAGAGAGAGAGAGAGCGAGAGAGAGAGAGAGTGAGTAAAAAACAGTGTTAATATTGTCTCTTGCTGCCACCAGATGTAGGAGAGAGAGACAGAGAAGAAAGGGTGGAGAGAATAGTGTTATCTTGCTGTCAATAATTATTTGAACATATTATTTTTCTTGCAGTTATTGTGATTATGTGAAAGAGAGAGAGAAATAGAGAGAGAGTGTGACCATGTTATCCTACTGTCAGTCATTATTTTAATACTCTATATTCTCTTACTGCCAAAATACAATCAGACGGTTACTGGTACCATCAGAATTGGAACTCTTCGCTTGCTGCTGGAGATTGGGACTGAGTGCTTATGGGAGTGTCCCGAGTGTTGTGATGTCAATTATTACTTCAACATTAAACATTCTCTTGCTGCCTCGATGATGTGTGAGAGAGAGAGAAAGAGAGAGAGAGACAAGAGAGAGATAATGTTATCTCACTGTCTTTATATTAACACAATGTTTTGTTGTTGCTTCCAATTTCTCTTCGCAGACAGAGCACAACTGGATGAACCAGACTGTATAGAACAACTGCACTTTAAGACAGCTCAATGTTTGTTACTGTTGCTAAAAAGACATTACCCTGACAACAGTGGCATTATATTTAGCAGGATAATTTCATTGCTGACACTGTCACGAAATAATGAAGAAGACTGCAGAAAGTTTATCATGACAGACATGTTCACAGGAACATACAAAGAAAGATTTCATAGTGTGCCAATCCTTTTTGAACTTTTTAATGCCATATAGTTATGTGAAGATAAAAACATAAGTGTATATAGATATGCAAATATGGTCTGATGATGATGGGGACAATGAAATATGTCTCCCTGTGTCAGTTTGTCAGTTTCAGGGCCTCATGTGGGGATGGGGTGGGGGAAGGGGGCGGGATCTGAATTTAGGAGTTTGCTGATATTTGATTGTTTTTTTCAGCTGAAAGGTGCAGATATCACAACCTAGTTGTGAGCCGCAGCACAAAGTGCCAACTGCTTTTTTAATGGGGAACCTGAAGAAGAAGAATTAGAAGAAGATAAAGAAGGAGAAGATGAAGAAGAAGAAGGAGAATAAGGAGAAATATGTTGCTCAAACAGATTATAAGACCGATGCAGATATTGTTTCTTTTAAAGCTTATGGAGAAATCTTTGAAAACCTAGACTGTGCATCCTATTATGCCTCCACATAGAAGATATTCATGTACTAGTCTAGCCACCCTCCTGGTTTCTAATTGGGGAAAGAGAGTTCCACAACAGTCTCCACTGAGTTCCCATTGGTATAACAATTCACAAAACATGCTGAGAAATTAAAGAAAGTCATGCTGCATGTAGAATGATAAGCATCGCTCCAGAGGTCTTCATTAGTTAGCATCCTTTAGAGATTTTCTCCGGGGTATGCAGTTGGCTGGATCTGCACCACTGGGTGGTGAATTGATACATGTCAATGCAGATGTGGTCAAGGCTCTTTGGGAACAAGCAATGCTATCAGTAGAGAAGCAAGATTATTATGGCCTGGAGAGAATGAGGCACCTGGGTGTAACCAGAGGGTCTGGCCGGACATATAACCAGGTTGTGACCGGTACCATCAAAACCACAACAGCCAACAAATTCTGGGGTTGGTTCTACAACCTCCTGTAAAGGATGTGCAACTAACTTATTTTAACTAAAAGGTCAAATGATAGACACAAAGTCTGCACCCACAAATGTGGGTGCCTAAAATATTACTGTCACTAGTTTAAAACTGAGTGTTTTTGTTCTTTGCCTTTTCACACTGGTTGAAGGGTCCCATTTGGGGAAGCGAGGGGGGGGGGGGGGGGGAAGGGATAGACCCACTGTCCCTAATAAGCATGGTGTAAAAGGCTGCTGAAAATGAGGACAGAGCACACATGGGAATGCCCAGAGTGCTGTGATGTCAATTCTTGACTTAACTCAACTCTGGGGTATGCAGGTGTGTTGGAAAATGAACAGTCGGACAGTTGGCATAACTTGTGAACTGATGCATGAATAACTTCACGTGATCAAGGCAGTTTGGGAGTATGTGAACAATGTGGTAGGGTGAATAGATCATTACTGTCTGGAGTGACTGTCACAGCAGGTGGGGTCAGGAGATTTCAGCCCAGCACATCCGATTTCAGAAAACGCCTAATAAGTTGCCTTTTACACCATGCTTGTTAGGGGTAGTGGGTCTGTGCCCCCTTGCTCCACCAAGTGGGACCCTTCAGCCCATGTGAGGAGGCACAGACAATAACAATGTTATTCTAGGCACCCATTAGTATCGGAACTCTTTGCTGGCTGCTGAAGATGGAGACGGAGCGCTTATGGGAATGCCCCAAGTGCTGTGATGTCGGTTCTTGAATCAAATCAAATCATAGTTTGTCATTGCTTTCTGGATAGTCGGCTTTTCTATACCACTGTTGAAACCAAAGCAAGGCACAAGGCCTGCAGCTGGGATCGAACCCGGCATTACGAAGGGTCTAAGCTACAGATGCCGACGACCCATTAGAACTGCTTACATATTCTTCAGATACGTGGCCTGGTTCAGAAAAACTGGATGTGGTTCTCTATTCCTCTGTAAAATCTTAAATTGTGATGGCATTGATGTTGCTAATGTTATTGTTGCCTACTTATTTAAGCATTCCACCAGTATCTTGCTGACTGTGAAAAGACTTAAACCCCCACTCCACAATATTAACAAAGACAACAGAATATTCTCACTGTGTTGTCAACTTCTGTTGTGGAGATGGTAAGTAAAAAGTAAAGATCCCTTTTCACGCCCTTAGGCATATCAGGTAAATGGGAAGAGTGCCCATATTTTGACAGACTATCGGCACTAGGCGGGTAATGTGGTCATCATTACGCTGGCTGTCTTTACTTCCCCAGGACAGCTATCCTGGTACTTATTTTAGGCTGGGTCGACCTGCAACGCCACATACTACGATAAAAATTAATGCAGCGAGCAGTGGGTTTCGATCGAGGTATGTTAGAATTACGAGTCAGAGTCTCAACGCCTAAGCCACGGACGCCGCGTTGTGGAGATGGTACTAAAATAAAAATATAAAAAAAAACAGATACAAACCTGGTCATCTTGTGAACAGTAGAGAAATGTTAATGAAAAGCCTTAATCTGCTTACAAAATATCCTGTCACTTACAGGACTTAACGACATGCCAGAATCTGATTTGTGTAGAGATGTTTCCAAAGCTGTACTTAAGCTGCATTCACAGTTTATCAGGGATGCCATATTGATCATCTGTCAATAAGATGACACAGCTTTATGGGGAGTGACACACACTGGAGGTGATATAGAGATTTGTGTGTGTGCCTGGAGAGAATATTTCTATATTTCAGATTCTCATTGTTGATAAATTTAACATGATTGTGTTATTTATCGGTTTGTGGGAATCAGATATTTGCCTATGGGGGTATTAATTGGGACAGTGTACATTTTAGAGAAGCGGGAGGGGGGGTGCAAGGAGGTTTAAAAAAGGTGGTGGGGAAAGGGGGTGTCGAGCAGTTTGAAAGTGCATTTGTACTTGTGATAACAGGCCAACAAATTTTTAGAAGTAGTTTTTGTTTTGTTTTGTACCAGAACTTAATTACATCATTTCTTATTGAATTTGACATGCTGATTTCAAATATCATCATGAAATTTACATATTAGCTCTGGGTTTTTTTTCTTCAAATAAATGACGAATTCACAATACAATAATACAAATAATGTATGCTTTAAAAAAAAATCCCTGGTGTGAACAGTTAACGTTTTATTCTAGCCTTATAAAACTTATTGATGCAGACTCAGTTAATAGATATTTCAACATGAAATGATCGAAACAATAAATAACACATATTTAAAGTTCACATATAATGTTTTATAAAGAAACATTTAAACCTTTGCGGTCATTATTCAAGCGCTTTTCCAGCTCTCTTTGCTTACTTTGTAATCAATCGATTAGGTGTCTCTTGTCACAGTTTAGCAGTGATCAGCAAGCATTGAAATGCTGCAATGGCCTTGATACCTTTTCTCATAGCAGCAATGTCGTTCACTATGCTCGTCACTGAAGGCTCCACAGTTTGACATAAAGAAATCCAGATCAGAATAAAGAAAATGAATTTTCAAAAACATGTTGCATTCAAGACTCTAAAACTTCAGAAAGAGATTTTCTAAAATCTCACTGTAATTATCAGATCTGTTGTTTCAGAGAAAATTTTTCACCACTCACTTAAACGCTAGCCACGTTGCTTGTTTCTCAATATTTTTTGTGCTTTTTTTATTACATTTTGTTCTGCTGTTACTTGTCAGTTTCTTGCATAGTGCTAACTTGCTTTTATTTACCAAGTTCTACTTGTTGTCGCGATCTTCACTGCAATATGCATCTTGTTGGCATTATTGACATCATTCCCGTCCAGTGTCGGACTAATCGTGGTAAAAGCCTTGTCTGCCAGATTATCTGCACGCTCACTGCCTTAAACACCTGCATTGCTAGAACAAAGATTGAGGTTAGGCGAGTTGTTGTGATGCATTTAATGAGATGTGTTTAATTTAAATGTAAGATGCTATCAAACAGTATCAGTCTTACACAGGGACGCCTCACAGGGCATTCACATTTTAAAAATGTGCAATAATAATATTTATTATTTCTTATTATTGTCAGAATAAATGGAAGAAATTGTTATATCAAAGAAGATATACTCCACAATGTGATATCTCGGTTAAAGAAAAAAAGACTTAACTAAGTCAATCAATTCAAATATTTGGGAACAATCAAATCATCAGATGAAAAATACGTGACAGAGATTAAAAGCAGAATATTTCAGGAGAAAGCTGCATTTCAGAAAATGAAAAATAACTTATGCAATAAATTACTTCCATTTAAATTCAGAAAGAGGGTGCTAAAATGTTACATAGAACCTGTTCTGCAGTATAGCAGCGAATTATGGAATGTCAGTGAACAAATTAAGAAGAATTTAGAAGCAACAGAGGTGTTGTTTCTGAGACAAATGTTACGAATACCTTGGACGGCCAGAGTAACTAACATTGATTGTTTGAAAGAAGCAAATGAAAGTAGATCTCTATATACAACAATAAGAAAGATACAAACACTGTTCTTTGACCACGTAATGATAAGAGAGACATTGGAGAACATCGTGACAACTAGAAAGATAAGTGGAAAAAGGGGTAGAGGCAGACCAAGAGAGATGATGCTGGATGAACTAAATTGATGGAATGGAGGGATATCATCAAGAGAGCTGTTCCAGGCAACCAGGGATCATGATCTGTGGAGATGCATGAGAGCCTACGCCAGTTGGCAGGGCACATGATGATAATGATGATTATCGTTGTCGACTGAATGACAAATGCAAAAAAAAAAAAAAAAAGAATATCCATAGTATTATGAAATGTGTAATAAAATACTTGAAAAGAACTTCCAGACATGGTGGTGGTTGGGAGGGGGAGGGGAGTATGAAGTCACTTGCCCCTCTATTTAGAAGAAAGGATATTAGCCTCTCCAATTTTGTTGGGGGGGGGGGGTCTCAAGGTGACTGTACTCCCAGATTCCGTCGCCCCTGTTGTTACAAAGAGAAGCCAACCTACGTGAAAGGAAGCATCGATCCACGCGATAAATCGGGTTGTGGTCTAATTGAAGAAATTGTCACAGCCACCCCAACTTTCTGATACAAGCCGAAAGCAATTAACATCAAAGCAGGACACCGTATGGCAGAAAGATTGCGATAAAAAAAAAAAAAAAGACTCAGGTCG